CTGCAATATAACAAAGAGTGAAAAATTTAAGGGGGTCTGAATACTTTCCGTACCCACTGTATATATATATATATATATATGTATATGTATGGATATATATCCCCAAAGAAATCACATAGAAATAAAATAGCAGTTGTTTTATCTATAATATTTGTATTCAACTAGTTTTAATTGATATTTTGGTATCGAATAAATTACATAAATGTATTATATACAGTGGGTACGGAAAGTATTCAGACCCCCTTAAATTTTTCACTCTTTGTTATATTGCAGCCATTTGCTAAAATCATTTAAGTTAATTTTTTTTCCTCATTAATGTACACACAGCTGCTTTACTGCTTCTGTTAAATAAACTCAACATACACGGTATTTCCAGGTAGTTTGCATCCAATCTTTTAATTTGGATGCGATTAATCACTTGTGCTGTCAAGTGATTAATCGCATCCAAATTAAAAGTTTTTGTTTACATAATATATGTGTGTGTACTGTGTATATGTATTTGTATATATAAATAAACACACATACAGTATATATCTAGAAAATATTTACATGTATATATTTGTATTCATATAATTTATATTATATATAAATATATTTAAAATATAAGCATAACATATTTTTCATAAATATATACAAGTGTCTGTATTTATATATACATAATATATTTGTGTGTACTGTGTTTATTTATTATGTAAACAAAAACTTTTATTTTGGATGCGATTAATCGGGACTAATTGTTTGGCATGTACACACACACACATTAGTTTACTGTATGTGCCTGACAATCACACTACCTGGAAATACCGTGTATATTGAGTTTATTTAACAGAAGCAGTAAAGCAGTTTTATGAACACAGATTGGCAGGTTTATTTCAGAGTGTACATGTTAGTTCTTCCTCTCAGTGTTTCAGTTCCTGGTGTTAATGTGTAACCGTCTCTAATGGTTAACTGCTGACACATGACAGCGATGTAAAGCTGAGAGTGTGTTTGGGTTACAGTGTGTGTTTGTGTTTCTCCAGGAGGTGGCGCTCCGGCAGCTGCCCATGGACTCTGATAATATGGCACCGGTGGCACCAAACATCAGCTCTCTACCAATGACGCAGGGCAACATGCCCAACAACAGCTCAGACCCCTTCCTCAACAGGCAAGTCTGCTCTTTACTCTCTTTAGTTTAATGTTAAAAATTAGTTTGACTTGGTCCAGATCTCCCAGATTGCTCTCTGGGGGTATGAAGTCGTGTTAAAGGTGTGTGTGTGTGTGTGTGTGTGTGTGTGTGTGTGCGCGCAGTGGGCCGTATCACTCGCGGGAGCAGAGCACAGACAGCGGGCTGGGACTGGGCTGCTACAGCATCCCCACCACTCCTGAGGACTTCCTCAACAGCATGGAGGAGATGGACACAGGTACAGCACCAGATAAAAACACCATGATAGAGCACGGCATTAGTGTTATTTTAGTTGTTATAGTACAGGGCTGTCCAAACTCGGTCCTGGAGGGCCGGTGTCCTGCAGAGTTTAGCTCCAACCCTAATTAAACACACCTGAACCAGCTAATCAAGCTCTTACTAGGCATAGAAACTTCCAGTCAGGTGTGTTGAGGCAAGTTGGAGCTAAACTCTGCAGGACACCGGCCCTCCAGGACCGAGTTTAGACAGCCCTGTTATAATATTTTGCTTAATTTCTGGCCATATGTCGGCTTGATTGCACAGACACTATTGGAAGAGCGCTGAACTGGATGCTGACATCACTGAATCATCAGTGAACTGACTGTTTGTTATTGTCCTCTTGCATTATTGACACACTATTTTCCTGTTTGATATTGTATAGCTGCTTTGACTCGATCAGTATTGTATAAAGAGCTATAGAAATAAAGGTGACTTGACTTGTAGTATTTGTACATTTTCATTAATATTTTAAATTAGATTTAATTTTTATGTTTCCCATAAGTTTTATACATTTTTTTAGTTTTTTAAAGTTTTAGCAAGTTTTAGATTTTTGTTGTTGTTATTTTAGTATTTCAACTAAATGAAAATGAGAAATAAACTAGCTAAAATTAAAAAAGTTGAAGTTTTTTTTAAATAATTTATTTTATTTTATTTCATTTCATTTAATATTTATTTTGTTTAATATAAAAAATATATATAATTTTAGATTTAATTAGTTTTGTGGCATTTTGCACGGCATTATGACATGACAGTATTTTCATAAAAATTAAGCACATTTTCCACCGGATCTCTTTTTCATTACTACTTTTAGATTTTGTATTTATTTTTTTATTTTTTGTGTGATTTTCATTATTCCTAATCATGATTATTTTTTTTGTACCTAAATCAGTATATATATTAAATACAGTACAACAAATACCACCATGGTGTACATTTTCAGGGGATTTTGGGCCACTTACCCATGAAATTTGGTATTTATATGCTATACATAATGTATACTTACAGTATATGTTGCTTGTAAAGTTGGTGTAGATACTGTATCGTACATATATGTATGTATATGTATGAAACTCAGTACTTTATACCCACTTAAATGCATTTTTTTCAGTGGTAGTGTTGTGCGCTGCCCCGTGCATTGTTTATCAGTTACGTGCTGTATCTCTTCTTGCAGATGCAAGGGATTATTTCTAAAATAAACCACTGAATCAATGAATCATATACAGTATAGCATGTTTAACTTTCCCCCTGCCAGTGATGGCCTGAGTTTGCAGACGCCTGCGCTATTCAGTGAATGAACATGATTGTTAGCTAGTTTTATAGATGCTTAGAGGGTAATAATTACTGTTTACGACTGCCAGAGAAATGATGTTTCCCATCGTCTTGTCTGCAGGTGAGAGCATGGTGCAGGTCAGTATGAGCGTCCCGCCTCAGAGCCGTTTCCCAGACTTCCTGGACTCCATGCCTGGCACCAACGTGGACCTGGGCACCCTGGAGGGGGCCGACCTCATGCCCATCCTCAACGACGTGGAGTCGGTCCTGAACAAGAGCGAGCCCTTCCTGACCTGGCTCTAGACTCACTCACACCACACTAAAGACTCTTTTATATAAATACATCTATATTATATTATATATTCAGTCAGCTTCTTCCTCTAGTTTCACTCGTAATTTAGACTTTTTTTCAGAATTGTGGGTTTATAACTCGCAATTTCAAGATATAAACTTGCAATTCCAAGAAAAAGGTCAAAATTGTGAGACAAAAAGTCACATTACCTTTTTTTTTTTTGGAAATAAAAAAAAAAGTGTATATTTCTGGGCAGAAATAAGCTTTGATTAAAAAATATATGTATTTGGATCAATAACAAGAAGTTAATACCTAAAGAAAATTAAGCCCGTTTTTTTATAGGACCGTTAGGATATTTTGAATAATAATTAAGCACATTTGCCTTAAAAACACTAATACGAATCGTGACTGAGAATAAGAATTACAAACAAACTCAAAAATAGAACAATCAGATGTGTTACTGTAATGAGATTTTTTTGTATGACAGTAATGCAAAACGAGTTTTGTTGGTGTTTGTTTTTGATTTAGATGTTTTTAATAGTCAGAAAATCGTAATGGTCATTACGTTTTCATGAGGTTCACCCTGCTTTTTGCCAAATCAGTAGCACAAGTGTGCCTGTCAAAGCTTTACATTGTGACTTTATATCCAACGAATAGCTATTTCAGATGTGTTTTTTACTCTTATTCCAGTTTAGCTATTGTGTGAAGCTCATGATGGCATTTGTAGACAAGCGTTTCATATCATATATGTTTTTATGTACTGCTACAGTATTCCTATTTTCTATTCTGTGCTCTTGACATCTGGTGCATTTAATTAGTTTGCAGTTTAGTATTTATCAAGAGCTATTAACTTCTTTTTAAATCGTTTTTAGATTTGTTTCCTTTTTTCAGGAATTTTTAATTGTCGAAGCACTACAAATATGCCAATACTGATCTAGTCCCTCGATATCTTCAGGGAATATCTATCTATAAGTATTTTCTGATACCAGAGATAATTTTGCCTTCATTTGGATGATTTTTTGGGGCAGACACTTGTTTTGTTTTTTTTTTTCTTTTCTTGATTTTAGCACTCCGGCTGAAATCCAGTTCAATATATAAACATATAAATATGTTGTTTTTTTCTACACAGGTCTAATTTTTGTATTGCATGTTTGATCTGTTTGATATTCATAGCATCGGGGGGTGTATAGACCCACCTCACCGTGACTTCATTATTGTTTATGGTTACGTTATAGATGGGTTATGATGAATTGAAGTGTGTTGGATTTGTGGATTGTGCAGACGGGGTGATTTTTAGTAGCTGTAGGTCAAACTGAGCTCATGACGTCCTTCATGAGGACCGAGCGGTTAAGTAGCGGGTCAAAAAGAGCCGATACGAGCTGTTCGCGAACCCGAGTGACCTCAGAGACGTCGTTTTCTTTGGTTTTGGACAACTAAGGATGAGATCGGGTGTCTTGAATGGCCCCTTCTGCGCCAGAAACTCAGCAAGAGGGACCTTTTAATGATTGAAACAATTTTCTATGATATAAACTGCTTTTCCAGAACCTAAATCATGCAATATCCCACAGAGTTGAATATATATGGCTTCAGACACATAAAATGCTGATTTTTTTTGTTGTGTTATGGGGTGAGATGAAGTCTGGTGTGTCATCTGTATCGGTTGATGCCAGACTTATGTAGCGCTCCACACTTCAGCATGCTTTAGGTTTTTGTAAGATTTAATGTTGGTCACATGCTGGAAAGCTCAGAAAACAAACTGCGTACCACAGAAATATAATGGTGGTATACTGTACGTGAGAAATGTGGTTGTAACCTCTATGAAATCTCTAAAATTGTCAGTGAAATAAAAAAGGAAAATAATAAAATGGTTTATTAGCATGGATGTGTAGCTGTGTTTCTTTGTGAATCAGTCCATTGACTTTGTCTTCATCAGCTGGTGTGGTAAAAACAATTTATTCTCATTGCTATTGGTCCCTTGTAAAAAGATATGAATTGTACTGAATGTGCCCTTGTGTGTTTTATATCATAAAGGGATTTTTTTTAAACTGTACTCGCAGATAATATAATATTAATAAATGTCCACCACTTAAGTGTATATACAGTACATCATATACAAGTTTCAGCAGAAATTACATTAAAGAATATGGTATTTTAGTTTACCTTAAATACTTGTTAGTGCATTACGCATATTATAACCATAATTCAAAGACAATAGAAGTAATAATGAAAAAACATATAAAAATGTACTAAAATCCTACTCGAGTGGCTTAAAAAGCTCTCTTAACGTTTATTTTATTCGATATAAATTTGACATATAATACATTTTCATTTACTTTCAATTAACATGCAAGTGTCTGAAAACATGTTCATGTAAAGTTTATTTTTTTATTAAGTACTATTTTAAAAAGTATGTTAAAGTAGACTTCTTTTTTAAAAGGGATGCATGAATTTTTGAAGAGCCTTCCTGACTTTTTTTTTTTAATGTTTTGTGCAAACATGGTTACGTTATAAATGTTTTGGAGTTGAATTTTACAGATTTGAAGAGCTGCAAAATCTTTGGTTAATGTGAATTTCCATATACATCACATTTTGTATGTGACCTATTTCCTAGCATGGATTTCAACTAAAAATATTTTTTTAATCTGAAATGTATTGGATTGTGAAAAGTGGGAATTGCATAGAAGAGACCGAAAAACATTCTGATAAAAGATAAACAGTTTATTTCTTGCAATGATGAAAAATCACCAGGTACAGTTAATAAATGAAGAACATAACAGTATACGTAGGATCATATACTATAATGGCATGTAAATAAAGACTGTGAGAAAAGTTGGCTTCTTCTTTAACCATGAGGCCAAACAATTCTGATGCTGAATTAAAAGTGCATGGACAAAGCAAAATATAATGGGTAGATTATGAATGGGTATATGGGTCATGCCATGAAATCAGTGCCTTTTCCACTTGAAAAAATAAAAAAAATTAAATGTTTAATCAACATTTTTTAAATATCCATGAAATCAAGACACCTTAAAATAACAAGACATTGTATTGTGCCATCTCAGGCTATGTAATTTATTATTTTATGACTATTTTTCTACCTCATGTTTTGGTATTTTTGTCAACCCTGTTACCGACACAAAAATGTTACTAGATACTATAGTTTAATTAGAACTCTGTGATAGTTTTTATATATATATGAGAAGCATTTTAGTCACTCTTTTCACTGGGATTGTTTAAAAATTTTTTTATTTTTTTTATTTTTTATATATATATATTTTCAGATGACCAAGAACATCCTAATTTTGGAGGGTGACCACATGTCAATTAAGAATATATATATATACAAGAGAGACATTTAAAAAAGGACTTTGTCTAGAATAAAATATAGCTGCAGTTACAATGGTAATGGTAACAGTATTGACTGTTACAGAGGAGGCTCCTGTACCTCCTCCTCCGCACCACCAGAGGGAACCATCTCCTGAATATTAACATTTTCTTATTCGGACTCCATTTCTTATCATACCTGAGACTGATCACACACACATTTAAGCCGCTCACACGCACTGACTCTCTGCGAAGTCTTGATTTGCCCTGGCTGTCATTACTGAGCGGTCTACCCGTGTTTGTTTTCGTTGTGTTTGACCTCGACCTGTTTCCTGATCTGACTGTTCTCTGCCTGCCCTTACTCGGATTGTTCTCCTGGACTGTGTTTGCTAGCCGCCTGCCCTGATCTCTCGCCTGTGTCATGACTCCCCCCCCCCCAGGTCAGGCATCATAAATCATCAAAAATAGAACATGATAGAAGTGAGAGAGAAACATGCTTGTGTTGGAATTCAGGTTGAGAGATTATGTAACCTCCTAGAAGTGATGTCACTTGGATGAAATCAGGTGACACAAATGCCAAAAACATTGCTTAACAACGAGACTGTATTTAGAACAATATGCAAATGTGATTTTTATATAATTTTGCCTTCATTTTGCAAATTAAAAGTCCTGCTGAAAAAGAAAAATATATAGTGAGCCAAAAACTTTAGCTTACCCATACCAGCATAAATGCTATTTAAATTATTTAAAATAATATTTAATTGACTTTTTTTTAATGTAATACTGATGTAAGCATGCATAGTATTGTTATGTTTTTAAATTGCAAATTTATTTGTTGTTAAATCTATGTTTGATTATTTTTAGGGATGCAAATGACACCGATTTCGTGGAATGACCCACATGCAAGTTAGCTTATTTTCCGATAAAAACAAACATTTAAAATTGCAATTATTTAATATGTTTCTGAGAGTGAGAAAACGTCATCCAATAAATTATTTTCTATATTAATTATTAATTTACAATTATGTATCAAGTCCAGATTCATCATATGTCCAGCAGGTGTCTCAGCATCACCTCAACATGTTTTATTGAGTGAGTTATCTTATTAAAGTTAATCACATTTTACGTTTGCGTTTGTTACTGCTTAATTGCATACTTAATGGGAAATTATATTTTGTGAAAATGCTTGTAATTACACAATGTTGCTGTTGTTACTACAAAGTGATATTTGCAAAGTCTGCACTATTTGCTGTGAAACGTTTCTGTTGCACTGAGAAACAAGTCATTCATCATGCAGCCACAAAAAGCCAGATAAAGTAGCTATCGAGAGAAGATTATCAGTAATAAAGCATCAGTCACATATGCATCACAGAACATAAAGTTAATCATTCCTGTGTGAAGATGAGAGCTGTTACCTATAAACCCATCATAAAATAACATTCCCCTCATAAAACCCCTGATAACACATCAACATCACACTGGCGGAACAACAAACATTTACTTTAGCCAGAAAGCCTTCTCTCAATAATAGAAGTTATAACACTGCATAAGAACTCTTATCAAGTACGCTCTAGTGCGGTTTCAGCTTGCGCATCATGTTATTGCATGCTCTTTGCATATTTAGTTATAAAAAAATGGCGCAAATCATCTTCAGCAGGCCAGCTGTTGTTTATGAAGTAACCCTGAACTCTCCAGAGTCTGTCAGGGTGCTTCCCAGATCCTCTCACTGTCCCTCCTGCTGCTTCCTGTTTTCTCCAAAAAAACAAAACCTTGCTGAGTGAGACGGAAAAGTGCAAGTATAGCAACAAGGACAGCCATGTGGTGCTTTTTAAATCAAGAGTTTATTAAGTGTTAAATATTCTTTTACTAATATAGCAATACATTTCAACCAATTTCCTGAGATAAAATATTAAAAATCGTTATCTTTTATCAAATATTCCATATATTTGCACGTCCCCTTCATCCATCATGAAAAAAAGACTAAATACTTGTGTGAAAATAACATTCTCCTACAGTTTGAATAAATATTCAATATTCTTTTTACTATGTATCAATACACTATATATCAATATCCTATATCATATAAATCTATATGAAACATCATCTATAGGCTATATATAACAATATTGCTGTATGCTGCCTTCATAAGCCATCAGCCATCAGGCAGATAGAGCAAACACGGAAGAAAACAACATCCATCTGAACAGTATAAATACAAATCATGAGGTGAGAAACTGTTGAGAAGTACAGATATGGATGTATGATCAGTCCTGAAGAGTCATTGATCCAAGTCCATTCCGAGTGGTTTAAGAGCTCTGTGGGGGAAAACACGAGGCTAAGTTATTTCAACATGTCAAACTAATGGGGAATTTCATCAATAATGCCTGTGGGTGCTTTATTGTTATTGTTATTATCAGAGTTTGTGCATACCCCGCAGCAGCCGCAGCAGTCTCCACAGATAGTGCCGATGAGCCCGTTGATCACCTGGAAAGCACACAGACCGATCTGAACCAGACCAGTGGCCAGCAGGATGCAGAACAGGGTCAGATGCCACGTGATGATATCGCCCGGACCCGTACATTCACTCCACAGCGTTCTGTTGGACAGGTAGTTCCTGAAAGGAAGAAACCAGGCGACATGTGTTAATCTTACAGCTACTGGTTTATTACTTGAGTTTTATTCATTTGATAATAAACACGCACCCGTCGGCAAATGGGTAAGAGGCGTTAACTTGTTCTACGGTAGTGAAGCACTTGGGCCCGTGATTAATGGCCAGACAAGACACAATAACAGAGTAACCGGCGCCCACAGCTCCAACCGCGGCGAACAGAATAGAGCTGAACATCTAGATGAAAACAAACCAAATGCGAAACACAAAACATACAGATACGACTTCTTGATAGCTTTACTGTGTCTAATCTTGCATATTAGAATGTTTCTTCAATATAATGGTGCTTTGAAATGGCATGTGTGGCAAAAATCGCTTACAAGCAGGGTAAGAGTAAGAATATAAAAACGCATATTTCTAATATTTTGCTCAGAAAGGCCTTTTTTGGTGGGAATTCAAAAACGTTTCTGTTCTCATGTCAGATATGCATGCATGTATGTACCAAGAGCTTCTTAAAAAACCACAACAAATTCCTCATGTGTTTGAGCACACTTGGCGAATAAAGCTGATTCTGATTCTGATTCTAAATTCCCAAATGGCGGGAATAACGTGATCCTTGTGTTGAGGAATGGTGTGAGAATGTCATTTGTCACATGGACTCCTCAGAGCGTTCGGGGAGTTTTCTCACCGCGAAACGTTTTCCGCAGCTCTCATTCCCACAGCAGCCACAGCAGTCGTTGTTCTTCAAGCCCAGGAAAACCAGCGCAGGGAAAATCATCTAAACAAAGACCAGCTCGTTACTTAAAGGTGAACGCTTACTTATAAGGTATTTTCTACAATTAATAAAAGCCTTAAAATAAAACAAAAATAGTGAAGTACAAAATAAAAAATTACAAAAAATAGCTATAAAAAACAACAACTTTAAAATACTAGCCTAGATACAATGCAAAAAAAAAAAAACATTCTACGAAAACTGTATCTTTAATGAGTTAACAGAAACTTTTTTCTTTTTTTTTTACAGAAATTTGAGCTCAAATTAGAGTTATTTGATACTGATAGTCTTTTGTTTTACTCTGTTCTTCTTACGAGAAGTTACTTGCATTTGCTCATCCACTCACCACCACACCAGATCCCAGAATTCCTCCAAAGTAAAAGACTTCTTCTGTGATGTCATTGCTCTCATCGGCTACTTTACCACCAGGGAAAAACAGCATAATGTTGCAGATGACACAGATGATGGCCAGCGGGAGGAGGGTTATCCCCAGGCATTTGGCGAAATTTCCAGAACACATAATTCAGTCTTTGCTAAAGTCAAATACAGTCCTGAATAGGGAGCGCGGTGGTCTGGCGTCTCGGAGTCCTTTGTTTGGGTTAGGCGTCCGTTCCTGCGCTTGTGCAGGTGAGTATCGGTGTGTGGATTTATACTCTCCTGCTGCTGTGATGTCAGTGATGGGCACCTCTCTGTAAATGTGTAACTGTGGTGTGTCCTGCACCTACAGAGGTGCGTTCATCTATCAGATGAACAGTCACTGCGGCCTCACCTTTACTTGCAGCACTTGATCATGATCCAACAGCAAATAAAACATTTAGACACATCAATGTACCATGAACACATATGATATTTGACAAAAATTTGGATGGTAAATGGTGTGGATGATGCTCTTTTAAAAATAAGTACACTTACAGTATTTTGATCTGCTGACTAACATACACGTTAAATACTTTGTACTAATTGTAACTTTTAGCTACAAATATTCTTCATTACAAATGTATTTAAATATACAAAGTATGTGTCAATAGAAATGACAGCATATCTCAGTTACCATAAATGCTTGTCAATACATTCAGCAGTGCACTTTAACTATATTTCCAAGACAACGGAAGTAATTCTGAAATTACTTTTAAAGATGTACTTAAGTCCTACTTAAGTGGATCAAAATACTCTAAAGTTCAGCTAATTGCTTTTAATGCAAATCAAATGCAATCAATATAACACGTTAAACTATTATACTTTTTGTTTTGTTTAAAATGCATTTATAAGTTCGAAAACATTACATTAATTTTTTTTAAGTATGTACTTTTAAAGTATACTATTTATGTAATAAGTGTTTTTACAAGTAGGCTGTAGTGTACTTTTATTTTTCAAGAAGTGACGGCAAGAAAGAGGCGAGGTGGATATAATAACAGCCGCTGTAACTTCATTAACAAAAACAAAGATGGTATTCCAACATGAAACCAGTCCATAGGAGAAAAACAATATAACAACTTCACATCAAGCAAGGAGTACTAAACTGAGGGCTTAAATACACAGGAAAAAAACAAACTGAACAAGAAACAGGTGCACTAATCAATCAGTAACTGTGACAACAAATGAGGAAATGAACACAGGGAACTGAAATGAACATATCACAAACACAGAAGGAAAACTAACAGACCAAGGGGGTATTCCAAAAAGCAGGTTATGTGACATACCCGGATATGTTTGAGGATAAGCGAGCGGACAACCTCAGCTTTCGGTTCCAAAATCGGAAGTTACTTTCAGGGTATGTAAGTAACCATAGTAACTTGCTCTCTGAAGATAACCTGCTCCAGAGCAGCTTCTGTTCCAGGGTTAGTTAACTTCAGCGCACGTGTGATCTACTGACGAGCCTTCAGTGGACCTGACAGATAGCGCACAACATTATATAATATTACAATATGTAATACAGCCCATTATATATATATATATATATATATATATATATATATATATATATATATGTATATGATATATTTAAGTTAAAGAGCGCAATTATAGATATTTATTTATTATATTTTATATTATCATCTCACACATGGATTGGCATTTTCTATAATGTCTAAATTCTAAATCAAAATACATATCTGATATGACTTAATATATAATTAGCATCAAACAAACAATATAATTAATATTTTCAAGTATTAAAGATTAAACGGAAAACAAAATAAAAATTATTGCACAACCATCAATTAGTTATTCGATATGCACTAAGAATGTAAACGACCACTGAACAAAAGAAGAAGAAAGAAACAGCACGGCGCGCTTTTTCTTAGCGGCCGTTTCCATAGTGACTCGTTGATTCGTCGCTCTGTTGAGATTGTCTTGAATCTTAACCAGGAACATACTCGGAGTTGAATGAACTTACTCCCGGACACGTTTTTGGAACCACATACCTCGAGTAAGCAAGGATTGGGGTTAATCAACCGAAAGTTCAGGGTTTAGCTGACGGTAAGTTAACCGTGCTTTCTGGTATACACCCCAAAACTAA